ACATAAGCAGGAAAGATCGTCTGAAAACTTAGTATTGAAGGTAATCGAAATGGAACATTTCCTTTTTATGTGACTTTGTGTGAACATTTCTGATATTGATCCACGGATTGACCACCTTAGTCGCGACCTTACACGTACGAATATATAACAGATTTTACTAATTTGAAACGTAACCAATTCTCATCCTAACTTCAAACAAAAAAAAACAAAAAAAAGAAGGCAAGTGTCCCCACAACGGTAGTAATAACCCAAAAGCGCACACATACGCCTGAGGCCTCTCTTAATTTCTGATAGCCTTTTTAAAACGTGTGAATCATTGGAACAACATTTTTTTACATATTACATACAAGCTAATTCACTATAACAGCCTTAAAAAGTTTCAAATTTCTTTGGCTCGAAACACATTTTAAGGTTTGGAATATTAACAACGTTAACAAGTTTGTTTCTCCTAGAGTAGGATGAGAAGATTTACGTCTAATGGGATACAGAACCTAACTTTTTTTTTTGTTGTCGTTGTGGGATACAGAACCTAACTTTTTTTTTTTGTTATTCAGCAATTATGGAGTGTTTCTTTCCACTTTTGCCTCTGACCTTTGACTTTTTTTGATTAATACATTTTCTCTTCTTCTGATCATTTATAGTAATTGATAACTGAATATTGATTTTTTTTTTTCACAGCAAAAGTGTTTTAAATAGGCATAGATTATCCAACCCAGCCACCCACCCCCTCTTAACAGTTAATTATGTTGTATTATTTGTGGCATGTGTACAAAAAAGGAAGTACATTAAACATATTTTCACCATCATACACTAATTTTATGCTATTATTGCTGTAAAGGCTGAGCGCTGACCTAAAAATCCCAATATTCACGGAAATACACCTGTATACTATTGCTCACCTGTAGGAGTTGGCTCCATTTACGTACGTCTGCGCCGCGGTCATGGCGGGCGGATACTGCAGGGCTGACAGGTCATACCGGTGAAGTTGCTGCGTGTAGCCTAAGGGCTCGCCCTGCATGCCGGGGTAGCTGCCGGTGTGGCCCCAGCCGTAGCTGTCCATTCTAGGGTTCGCCACCTGGCCCTGTGCCGCCGCTGCCGCCAGCAGGTTTCCCGCCGTCAACGGGTACTTGCCCATTTGTGTATCTTTTTTCAGAAGCGGTTTGGTCTTGCGCCGGGGCTTGTATTTGTAGTCGGGGTACTCCTTCATGTGCACCGCGCGCAGCCGTTTGGCTTCGTCGATGAAAGGCCGCTTCTCGGCGTCGGTAAGTAGCTTCCACTCGGCCCCCAGCCGCTTGCTGATCTCAGAGTTGTGCATTTTGGGGTTTTCCTGGGCCATTTTGCGCCGTTGACCCCTGGACCACACCATGAAGGCGTTCATGGGCCGCTTTACTTTGTCCATGGGGTCGACTACGGGGGCGCACGCCGTCTTCGAATTCGGATGAGAGTTGCCGTTTGAGCCCATGTTACCGGTCATGTTGCCGGTGACCGGCGACATACCCTGGGGTATCTGGTGGGCAACGGTCTGGCCGCTGGGCTTCAGCTCGTGTTCCATCATACTATACATGTTGTCGGTTTTTGTTTTTTCTAAAAAAAGTTAAGAGAAAATTTGCTCACTCACACCACAGCAACCGAATGTGTCGCCTTCCACCTGGCGACTTGTTGCCGGGTTATCCCTTACAGGTTTATCCTAAGGCGCCGGGTGATTCAAATCAGTTAATTAGAGCCTAGACACACGCGTGCGCAGGAGACGGACTTATTTGTCTAAATGAGCACAAGTACAGTGTCGGTCATCACTCTGTTAGCGAAACAACACAGCGAGCTCAGGTCAGCCAAAGTGAGAGCTTAACTTTGTCACACACTACAGTGCGTGCCCTGCCTCCACTAAAGTTCCTCATCTGTCCCGCGCTCATTCACGCGCCTGGACCAATCGGAGATCGCAGTCGTGCTCCTCTGTGCGCGCGCAATTGCGAGTTAAACTCCCTTAACAATGCGAGAGGTACTTGTTGCTGCTGGAAGCCTAGAAAGAATGGAGGAGCGCGCGCGCGCGCGCACAGTTTTTTTGTGTTTGTTAGCACTATTTTCTCATCCATGTCCGAATTCGAATCGAATTTAAATCGTTAAAACAATCGTCCTCATTATTTTTGAAGCATCAAATAATCTCTGAATGTTTTCTTCAAAACCCCAACGGATTTCTAATTGCTTTTGTAATATCTGTGGTCGCCATGATCACTGACTGTGTAAAAAGTAGAGATTACAGATATGAATTTGTGTATTTTCGGATTTAAAAAGGTCACCGTCACGTGAAGGTAGAAATAATGTGGTTAGTAAAGATAAAGGGAATCGACATGATTTGCGTAAAACAAGCACAATCAAACAATGACAATGAACAAAAGTTCACCAAAAATACTGAAAAATATTGAAATAATTTGTTCAATTATTCATTAGACAGTTCGTTGAAGTTTGATATGCTTTTCTCTCTTTCTTTTTTCTCATTTAAAAATTAGGAAATTACCTCATTTTGACATTTTAAACTTAATGAATGTACTTATCATGGTAGAAGTTGAATGTATATTGTTTTGTGTTTTTCTGTGTTTGTAGAATATATGAAGATGCCTTTGAAAGTTCAAGGATCATTTTCCTTTTTTTTTCAAAATAAAACATATTTTAGACTTTGTTCTGTTAGTATCACAGTCTGAATGACCTATTGTTTTCAAACATTAACAGATTTATTTTTATGTACTTTTTTTCAGTGTGCCCCACTGTGGCCTGATATCAAATGACCTACGGACCATCACCGGTCCCTGTACCAGGGGTTGGGACCCCTGATGTATAAAAAGATATAAAGAGTCTTTCTTCTGGAACTTCAGTCTGTAAAAATAGCTGACCATTTTTTTATTTATTCATTTTGTTTGTTTGTTATTTAGCCTTCTCCTGAATTTCACACTTTCTTTGACTGCAAAGGGAAACATGAGTCAGTTGAAAAGACCCAAAACTGGAACCTCCTAACTTGCAGCTCCATGGGAGAGACAAGCTTTTTACGAACATGGTTTGTCTGTTGGGTTTTTGGTGCAGTACACTAACGGCTTCACATCCGACTGAATTAACCACTCAGAGTTGTGCATTTTGGGGTTTTCCTGGGCCATTTTGCGCCGTTGACCCCTGGACCACACCATGAAGGCGTTCATGGGCCGCTTTACTTTGTCCATGGGGTCGACTACGGGGGCGCACGCCGTCTTCGAATTCGGATGAGAGTTGCCGTTTGAGCCCATGTTACCGGTCATGTTGCCGGTGACCGGCGACATACCCTGGGGTATCTGGTGGGCAACGGTCTGGCCGCTGGGCTTCAGCTCGTGTTCCATCATACTATACATGTTGTCGGTTTTTGTTTTTTCTAAAAAAAGTTAAGAGAAAATTTGCTCACTCACACCACAGCAACCGAATGTGTCGCCTTCCACCTGGCGACTTGTTGCCGGGTTATCCCTTACAGGTTTATCCTAAGGCGCCGGGTGATTCAAATCAGTTAATTAGAGCCTAGACACACGCGTGCGCAGGAGACGGACTTATTTGTCTAAATGAGCACAAGTACAGTGTCGGTCATCACTCTGTTAGCGAAACAACACAGCGAGCTCAGGTCAGCCAAAGTGAGAGCTTAACTTTGTCACACACTACAGTGCTGTGCCTGCCTCCACTAAAGTTCCTCATCTGTCCCGCGCTCATTCACGCGCCTGGACCAATCGGAGATCGCAGTCGTGCTCCTCTGTGCGCGCGCAATTGCGAGTTAAACTCCCTTAACAATGCGAGAGGTACTTGTTGCTGCTGGAAGCCTAGAAAGAACGGAGGAGAGCGCGCGCGCGCGCACAGTTTTTTTTGTGTTTGTTAGCACTATTTTCTCATCCATGTCCGAATTCGAATCGACTTTAAATCGTTAAAATAATCGTCCTCATTATTTTTGAAGCATCAAATAATCTCTGAATGTTTTCCTGAAAACCCCAACGGATTTCTAATTGCTTTTGTAATATCTGTGGTCGCCATGATCACTGACTGTGTAAAAAAAGTGACATTACAGATTGAATTACAGATGAATTTGTGTATTTTCGGATTTAAAAAGGTCACCGTCACGTGAAGGTAGAAATAATGTGGTTAGTAAAGATAAAGGGAATCGACGTGATTTGCGTAAAACAAGCACAATCAAACAATGACAGTGAACAAAAGTTCAACAAAAATACTGAAAAATATTGAAATAATTTGTTCAATTATTCATTAGACAGTTCGTTGAAGTTTGATATGCTTTTCTCTCTCTATTTTTTCTCATTTAAAAATTAGGAAATTACCTCATTTTGACATTTTAAACTTAATGAATGTGCTTATCATGGTAGAAGTTGAATGTATATTGTTTTGTGTTTTTCTGTGTTTGTAGAATGTATGAAGATGCCTTTGAAAGTTCAAGGATCTTTTTCTTTTTCTTTTTTCAAAATAAAACATATTTTAGACTTTGTTCCGTTAGTATCACAGTCTGAATGACCTATTGGTTTCAAACATTAACAGATTTTTTTCTAATGTGCCTTTTTTCAGTGTACCCCACTGTGGCCTGATATCAAATGACCTACGGACCATCACCGGTCCCTGTACCAGGGGTTGGGACCCCTGATGTATAAAAAGATATAAAGAGTCTTTCTTCTGGAACTTCAGTCTGTAAAAATAGCTGACCATTTTTTTATTTATTCATTTTGTTTGTTTGTTATTTAGCCTTCTCCTGAATTTCACACTTTCTTTGACTGCAAAGGGAAACATGAGTCAGTTGAAAAGACCCAAAACTGGAAACTCTTACCTTGCAGCTCCATGGGAGAGACAAGCTTTTTACGAACATGGTTTGTCTGTTGGGTTTTGGTGCAGTACACTAACGGCTTCACATCCGACTGAATTAACTGGGTGCACTGGTGAGAGTGAAAAGAGAGAAAAAAAACACAAGTTCAACAACATTACATTTCAACAGGCAGTGTCCATATGACCAATTGAAAATGAAATGACTTCAGTCCAGTTCTGGTATTGTAGCAGGATTGTTTTGTTTTTCTCCTTTTTTTGTAAGTCTGGACAAATGCCGCTCTAAATGTAATGAATGCATGTCAAAAGATATGTTGTTTTATTTTTGGGAGACTTGTTTTTTTTTACCTTGTCGGCAAGGACATTTGGCCTTTTGTCTTTGTAAACTATATGATGGGTTTAGAGCAGGCATGGGTAAATGTTTTGAGTCGCGGCCTACAATTGGTCCTAAAATTAAACGGGGGGGGGGCCGGGTCTGGAGCAGAAAGATGGAGCGTTGTAAAAAAGTCATGCATAAAGGCTAAAATGTTAAAATGCTTTTAGCCTTCTCTACACCATCTTTATAGGGAAAATGTGGGCATTGGAGGGAAAAGGCAGAAATATAATCACAATACAAACCAATTATATAATTAGGACAAGTTTGGCGGGCCGGATTACAAAGCTGAACGGGCCACATCTAGCCCCCGGGCCTTAGTTTGCCTATGTCTGTGTCTAAATCCTGATTCAGTGATTCACCTTTTGGAAACCCATTTCCATGTAGACGTACTCTCCTTATTCTCTTCCAACCATCACTCTGCCCTGACAATCTAGAAAGTGAAATAAGAGAGCAGCGAACAAAAAACAAAAAACATTCTCCAGGGTGAATTCAGAGATGGTGTTTGGACACTTCAGGAGTTCGATTTCTGAAGCAGACCTTTTTTGCAGCCTCACTGTCGTGAGACATTAAGGAGTTAGTCTGGTAGAGGTTTAACACATTATTTTCTAAAAACTGGGTCATGACCTTCAGGTGGGTCGCAGTTTTTTCGGGGGGGGGTTGTCAACTTATGGATACCTTTTTTGCTGGTTTAATTACTGTTTTTCGTTGTTTAAAACTTGAGTAATATTGTTCAGATATCACTTAGCCAACAATAAAATATATATATAAAATCAAGTGTTTTTCGTTGTTTAAAAACCTTTATTTTGTGATTTACGAATAATGTCTATGGACTTGGGTTGCAAAGGTTTGTGACTTTTAAAATAAGGGTCCCCAGAAAAAAAGTGGTTTAGAACATCTGTGGTGTGGGCTAACATGCTAACGTTGCTAATTCCTGGGCAACAAACTAGTCCCAGCAGTACAAGGGTATATATAACAACAAGGTTTAATTGATGGACACCAGTGTGCCAAACTGGCCACTACCAAGTTCTTAGCAGAAGGTATGATGCCTGTCACCATGGTAACCAGGCCCGGTTGATACTCTTTCGTAAACTACAGCTATGAGTACGAACAGTCCACAGGAGAAAGAATAAAGCAGCATTATACCACCAATGTGGCTCGTGTCAAATATTTTAACTAATTTTTTTTTTAAATATGATTAAAAACACCACACGCAGTCATAGTGACCACATTTTGACATTGTTTTTCAGTCACGTGAACACAGCTGTCAATCAAGATGCCCTGAAATATTTTTATATGCTGCATTTTATTTTAACTTGATTTATATTCACATAAATGATACAGTTGTGAAGTTTATTTGAATTAATTAAATACATTGAATGATTAATAATTACTATTAATTAGTTGAAAAAAATCTGTATTTTTTTGTAATCAATTACTAGACATTTTAGATAGATAGAGAGATGGATGGATGATGGATGGATAGATAGATATATAGATAGATGGATGGGTGGATGGATGGATGGGTGGATGGATAGATAGATGATAGTTGGATGGATGGATGGGTGGATGGATGGATGGGTGGATGGATAGATAGATATATAGATAGATGGATGGATGGCTGGATGGATGGATGGATAGATAGATAGATAGATCGATAGATAGATAGATAGATGGATAGATAGATAGATAGATCGATAGATAGATAGATAGATCGATAGATAGATAGATAGATGGATGGATAGATAGATATATAGATAGATGGATGGGTGGATGGATGGATGGGTGGATGGATAGATAGATGATAGTTGGATGGATGGATGGGTGGATGGATAGATAGATATATAGATAGATGGATGGATGATGGATGGAAGGTTGGATGGATGGATGGGTGGATGGATAGATAGATGGATAGATAGATAGATAGATCGATAGATAGATAGATAGATAGAGAGATGGATGGATGGATGGTTGGATGGTTGGTTGATTGATGGATGGATGGATAGATAGATATATAGATAGATGGATGGGTGGATGGATAGATAGATGATAGTTGGATGGATGGATGGATAGATGGATAGATAGATAGATAGATAGATCGATAGATAGATAGATAGATAGATCGATAGATAGATAGATAGATGGATGTAATTTCAAATTAAACAATGAATTAAAATAAATAACATATTATAATAATAATAATGAAATAAATAAAAGTCCAGTTGTACCATCATCCTTTAAACCTTGAAAATGTCCTCCTGTCATGTCTCCATTTCCCACCAGTGTGGCCCATACCATACTTTAAGAAGCAGTGACCCATGCAGTCCCGCGCCCCCTGCGGCCCACAGGTGCAAAAGGGAAAGTTTTAGCGGCCCATTAGGTAAAGCTGGTGGTCCAACTCTGTACCACGGCCCTATGGTTAAGAATCACGGCTCTAAACTGTACGTGTGAATAGCTTGCAACATAGACATAGACCCGAAAGTGCCATTTATTTATTAGTGTCAGCTGGGGGTATGAAGCACGACCTGAATAACGAGAATAAAAGTGTTGTATTCTTTTCTATTCTGTTCTAAGTGAACAGGGTTTACCAGTTTAGTTTGGTTTAAAAATTAGTTTTGGTAAACACAGTTTCTCTGTTTCATGGTAAACACAATTTAACCAACTATTGCTATTTGTGGCTGCAAAACCATAGAAGGCCATTTAAAAAAAAAATAGAAAAAAAATACAACCTGTCATTTCTATCAAAGCACCGAGCTGCACAACTTCTTACACTCTAGTATTTGACATTTCATGATAACTTCTCACTTGAAATGCACATGAAATATTCAGATGTTACAGAAGAACCTGAGGTAAAAGTCGCTTAACAAAAAAACACTTAGACAAAAAACGTGAATGAGCAAAAAAAAAAAAAATTAAGTGGAGGAATTGAGAAGAATTTAGGAGGTGGCAGGGACTGGAGGCAGGGTAGATTAAAGGGTGAAAACGAAACAGTGCAAGAACAGCAAATGAAACCCACAGAATGAAGGGAGAAAGGAAGGCTGAGATGGCAAGGGAGTGCACAGGAGGAGGAGGAGGAGAGGGAGAAGGAGAAGGAGGAGGAGGAGGAGGGACGAAAGGATAAGGGGATGGAAGATGAAGGGGTTGAGTGTGAGGGTTCAGTGCAGGAGGGTGGTTTTGGCTGACAGGCCTCATTGAATGCACTTCTATTCTTCCCTCTTCTGGCTTCCCTTCTCATGCAAAACAGGCCTTATCAGCCTTGCAGCCATCCGTCATACAACAGAAAGACCATGGCAGACCCTTTACGAGACTTGCATTAGCATTATCCTAACCCTCCCCCCTACATCCAACCATTTCTCAACCCCACTATCCAGCACCCAGAGGGGATAACGGGAGCATGGGTGTATGTTGGGTGGATGGGGGAAGGGCACCGGGGGTATCTTTGTCACGGATAGATCTTTGGGACGACAGGCCACCTACACTGAGAGTTGGATAAAGTTCTTTCTATCTATCCATCTATCTATCCATCTATCTATCTATCTATCTAGCTATCCATCATCTATCCATCCATCTATCTATCCATCTATCCATCTATCTATCCATCTATCTATCTATCTATCTAGCTATCCATCATCTATCCATCCATCTATCTATCCATCTATCCATCTATCTATCCATATCCATCTATCTATCCATCTA